ACTCGTGGCTGTGTGGCGGCTATTTTTTCGGCTGGATATTTTATTTCGGCGGCCGGCTGGTATTTTTTTGGTAAAACTGGCCTCTGCTATAAAAATATACCTAATATAAATATGACTAATCAATAAAAGTATACACTAAGAACAAGACGCACTGTGATAAAAGTATACAGCATGAAGTATGATGGATAAAACACTATGTCAATGGCATCGCTCTCACATACTTCCTGACATGACCTTTGAACATACAAAGGCTCATGTCAAAAACATCGGCTTTAGGAACATCGCGCAGGAAGCTGTTCATCATCTCAGGAAGCCGGTTAAAAATTCCCGTCTTCACAGCGTTCACACGGGCATACGGAGTCTCAAAGAGCGAAAGTCGGCGTGTGGTGCGTCCGGGTACATGAAGTGAAAAACAGCTGAGGAGGTATGGCGTATCCACCTGACCGCGACAAACATTTCGTAAAAACATGATGTCGTATTGCATGCGCCTGGCTTTCAAAGTGGGCATCTCAAAGACCTGCAGCAGGTGTTCATAGGACAGCGAGCTAAACACAATGTTGTTTGATTTCGACGCCATCCACATAAGAAATTTGTGCTGTACTCGCTCCAGCCTCTCCACATGTGACTTTGCCGCGCCGCCCCAAATGACGCACCCGTACTCCAAGATGGACCGAATGTTCGCAAAGTACGTAGCCTGCAAGGTTTTCATGCAGAATTTTTTATTCGGGAGGCCAGTCTGAAAAGACCTAATCAAAACGCCGAGAGCTCTGTTTGCTTTTGAAACTATGTGGTTGATGTGGGCCGAGAATGTTAATTTTGAATCCAGCATTACGCCTAAATCACGTACTTCGGAAACGCGCTGCAAAACCGATCCATCAATAACGTACGAGTGCATCACGGGTGACGACCTCAAGCTCAGTGTGAAAGCGAAGCACTTTGACGGGTTGAGGTGCAGCTTCCAGTCTGCCGACCATCTGCTGAGATTATCAAGGTCAGACTGGAGCTGCTCACAATCAGACATTGACCTAACCCGGTGATACAACTTAACGTCGTCCGCAAACATGATGCAATGAGATGAGTTCACAGCCATGGGCAAATCGTTGATAAAAAGCGCGAATAAAAGAGGTGCCAAAAGAGCCCCCTCTGGGACGCCTGACGTCACGTTCCGCCACTCGGACACTTTACCGTTCACCACCACCCTTTGCTCCCTGTCGGACAGATACGATTCGAACCAGTCCAAAATTTTGTCAGATAAATGATGAGAATTTTTCAGCTTGAAGAGAAGTAAACGATGATTAACAGATTGAAAGGCGGCCGAAAAATCCGTGTAGACTGAATTGAAAATAATTGAGCAAATTTGTTTTTCTGGTTCTTCATTTTTTTAGCAATAGCGGCCTTCAATCTTTCTTGAATTAATTCTAAGATACCAAAATATGAACATCATATTTCTAAATTAAGTGTACGAAGTGTAAAAAGGAAAACTTTATTTTATGCAGTTCCGTGCGTTTCGTATGGTATACGCCGTGCGTCGCCGTGACGGCACTTTATTTCACCTCTGGCCGCCTGCAAGGCTGCCATTGTGGAAGAGATGCCACGTGACACGTGTCAATGGTTCTGTAAAATTATGGACATTTTACTTAGCTTTCATCGCGATATCATTACAGTGGTGTCTGCTATCTATCAGTGTGCCTCGTAAGTAATTATTTATCAAGATTTGTTGTGTTAAACGTTTGTTTATGATGAAAAATTGGCTGCGTCACTATCGTCACCATTGCTACTTGAGTTGAACTGTAGGTATCATGGATTTTGTTTACATTAATGGTGTAGCCCAGCCCATCACTGTCATTTGGTTACCATTTTTGGATCATGATACCACATGTAACCCTGTCTTGACTGGACTCAAATTGAATGACTTGAACTGAAAGGACGTTTGATGGTTCAGGCATGGATCAGATGGATGAGATTCAGGGTTCAAGTTCTTGTCCTATCACCTCATCCAGATGACTTGAATCCACATCCCAGGTAACTGACCTGAATATTTGTTAATAGTTACACAATACAGTTATATTTTTTGCATTGGAAATAATTTAGAGATTTCCTGACTTGTTTTTGTTGCCTTATTCTAAAGTATTAGGTACCTTTCAATGCTTATCATTTGTTTTGAGAAAGTTTGAAGCATTTGTTTCATGATTCCCTGAATTCGGTACCTAGTCGGTATTTCACCCTATTTCTGAAAATCGGTTCGGTTTTGGTATACTCTCAGTGGTTTTGGTCGGTATCGGTTTGGTATTGGTTTCCAAAATTTCTGAAATTGACATCACTACTTCACATGCCTATTACCTAGTCCTCAACGGACCCGCTGACCCCACTGCGCCCTCACAGCCCACCTGATCGCACCCAACCCCCATCCAGCCTCCGTGGCCGGTCCATCCGGCGACCAGCATTGGTAGCCTGGCTACTCTACTCATCGGTCCGAGCATCCCGCCGATTCACGACCGATATAGGCCGGCTGCGACCCACTGTGGGAACGGGACCGCGGCGTCGACACGAGCGCGGCGCACCTGAGGCCATTAGTGGCGCACGGCCGCGCCGTGACCGTCGCAGCGCGCCGACACGGCTAATTACAGAGTCGCAGGCTGACGGCGCTCAGGGAGAGGAGACTGGGTGGTGGGGCTAGCTCAGGTGTGAAATATGCAGCCTGGGTTGATAATTAAGTAGGTATCAATAAATTCACAAACATCTTTAGGTGGTCTTTATGTATGTGATCGCTTTGACTGGCCGATTATCGGTTAGCGCGATTCTGCCATCCTTGACAAGGTGTACTTAATGGTGTCTTCGTATTCCTTATCCAAGCTATGATCTATTAGACATCTGTATCTTCTCATGAAAATTTCGCGGTTCATGTGGGCGCTGACGCTGTATTACAATCGTGTGAAGCACTCCTTTGACTGATTATATTCGCGTTAGCAGCCTTACATATCTGTTCGTTTCCGGCGTGTGAAGCCCTCTTTATCTCTTGGTGTGACAGGCGGAAGCGCGAACTGTGACCCAACACCATCGTTCGAGACACCCTCTCGCAATTTGGTAGTATAATCTGGAAGGTTATTTTCTCATCGAAACGCTTTACGGCCTCCTTTCAGGCAGACGTTGAACCGCTGGCCTACCATTCCTTTTCCATTGTAAAACCGTCGATGTCTGTAGCGATGGCTGCCAGGCCCAGCTAGAAACCATCTCGCGGCTGGCTAACGACCGTTTTGTTCATTAGTAAGGATGGCTCTGGCAGCCCGAAGGACGACTCGAACGGGTTACTTTGTAAGATGATATCGGTGAGCCCTTTTACTCGGCCCGACTTCTGACGGCTGGCACCCGGTGAACGCTTTGAGAAGTCAATCTGGTTTTGGGAGTGGTTAAGTGATTACGAGCTCAGGTTAGTGAGCATTATCCATGCCAATGTTTGGTCTCGTTGTTGATGCGATATTTTCTACGGGATGGGTGATTGGCTGAACTTGGATCTTGTGTTGTTGATGTCTGAAGCAGATCAGTCCCTTCATAATTCTGATCCTGCTCAGGACTGACTGAGCTAGTTCTCTGCCATTGGTGGTGGTTCCACGTTAGAAGGAATAAAACTAAAAGGTGAGCAAGCACCGGGTTGAAGTTCTCTTCCACGAAGTTGATATTGGACTTGGTCTCCCCTGATATGCTGTCAGCAGTGTGCCGTTCAGTTTTCGTAGCCTACCTCTCCTGAATCGTGGCCTCCGCTCACGGCCTTTGACCTCGGCGCACGACCGGCTGCCGTCTGCTGCTGTCGTGTCACGACACCATTGATTGGCTGGATCGGGAGCGTGGCGACGTGACCAACCAATCAGCGTCACGCTTGGATTAACCCCCGCCGAACGCCGGGATGAGCGCAAGGGGAGCGGAAAGAGGACCATCAGGGCGATATTTGACCTACTGTGGAGGCGTTAATCGGCGATTAGTTCGGCTTGTGATAGTTTTCCAGCTGAGAGGGCTGTTGGTGGCGTGATAGCGCGGCTGCTTCAGAGAAGAGTTCTCGTATAGCTGCTGTATAATTGCATAGTGATGGTTGATGACGTCTAAGGGTATTGCTAAAAGCGTTGTTAAAGGCGCAAGAATTGAATAATCACTGTACTTGTGATTTTTTTTCAATGGCAATTGACAGTTAAGGTTTGTTGTTGGCTGCTTAGACCTCAATCGTGCCAATGCAACTCTAATATAACTGGGTGCAAATGCGATAACGATGGACAAAGAACACGGTTCAGTCAGAAACGCTTATTGCTTTAATTGCATTGCGTTTATTTGTACCATTCAAACTGGCCTTGTCATGCAAGAAAATCTCTTAATTTCAAACTTACCGTATTACGCCCCGACAGCCGCCTAAGCGTGTCTCAGTTCTCACAACCCTCTCGCGGCTCCCCGATATCACGGAGAGCGCTGATTTGATGTTGTTTTGACCCGACCTCCGATCCCCTGACCCATTATCGGCTGCAGTCGGGGCAGCATATCGATTATTGGTTGTTATGACCGCCGGTCGGCTGCGGTGGACGGTGGTCCGGGGAGTTTTTGTTCTGCAACGGCAGCTCTGTGATGAATGACATGACTGGCCGGCCGAGGTCGGTCGTGTGCCCCCTGACCCAGACCGACTCGTGCAATGTCTGTATTGACACACAGTCACCCAGTCATGTTGACGGTCTGGGTGACGAGGGGATAGTGCCAGTGTTTGGGCATATGCTAGTGATAGTTATTGTTCGACATGAATATGATCATGAATCTTGACCGTTAATAATGAGGAATAATTTTTCTTGGCTGGCCTGGTGTGGTAGGACACTTGCCCGCCTGACATTACATTATCTACTCCAACGGTTTGTTAGGTACTGGACATTCACCTCAAGTAAGGCGTTAACATTCTCAACATGACCCGACCCAGACACCACCCGACCTCACGTGACCCCACTCTGACCTGCATTGCCCTTTCGTTGCAGCGGTCGCAACTCGAGGACGGGATCGACCCACACTTTGACCGGCAGCAGGACGAGTAAGTACCCTGTGCCGTCATCGGCTTGCCTCCATGAAGGCCTGTGGGACTGGTGTGGGCCGTCCAATGCTGCCCGCTGACCAGGCCGAAGTGTCGGTTGAAGGGTCGGGGAGTCCACAACCCAGACCACGCCCAAAAGCCAGGCTCAGACTCGAGGCCTGCTGGTTTGATGCGCTTAGGGATTGTGATTTGTCTCTGTCTGTCCGCTTATGCATAGGTACAGTTATCTCCAGTGATTGTGGCTGGCTTGTGGAGTGTTTCGTCACTTTTATGCTGTCTATATTCTATATTCTAAGGTCTATATTCCAATCCAGTTTGCTGCATTTCCAGTCAATATTGTCTGATCTGGCGGGGTCTGGCGGGAGCCATGTTTGGGTAATAAACGCTGGGACTAGGGCGTGCCGGGACCTTTATGAGAAGCCGTTGGGTGTGTGGTTGGTTACCATGGGAGCTGGAATGCTGGATATGGTGTTTTTGGTGACATGTTTTGTGGATTGGGTTGAGTTGGTGAGTGCCTGGGGACGGGTGTTTGTGAGATTGTGAGAGTGAATAGTTGCATATAGTTGTTGTTTGTTATGCTGTTCTGCCGTCTTTTACGCTGTTCTGATGTGTTCTCCCTATCTGGTGACCCTGGCATCAGTGACAAGCGGCGACTGACCTCTGTGGTTGTGTTTGCGACTGATTCGTGATGTGATTCACTAGGTCATTTGGTCACCATGGCGTAGGTAGGAAGGGTTAAACCTTAACTGAAAGGTGACTGAGATGACTGTGCATTTCTACAGGCGTCCATCCAACAGTGACTTAACTACATATAAGTCTGCTGGCATGAAGCATCCCCCTGTTTTCTGTCGTGTGTAATTTACTGCAGACTGAGGCCGATCTGCTATATCAGCGATCGAAACCGCTTCATGGTTGATAGAGAACCCATGAACAGCGGTGTCGTGAAGTCGGGCTTTACGTGCTGCAGAATAACAAATGGACTGTCGAGCTGGTGTGAGCTGGCTTCAAAAGCTGTAGTTCTGCTGCTGAGCTAATGTAGGCAACGGAGCTCGTTTCCGCGTTGTTATCCATGGTTGTGTGCATTTGCATCTCTCTATAGCCTGAAACGTGTTGATGCTTTGAAGAGCATCATTGCTAATAGTGTTTTCATGTAGTGACACGGTCCAAGGAATAAAAACATTGCTTCTGGTGCATGCACGATTGCACGATGATCAAGATTACTGACACATCTCGAAAAAACATCAGCGGGTGCAAGAGGAAACATTGAAGAACGCTAGAAGAAACATTGACGGATGCTAGAGGCGACAGGTGATCGGTGTTGTAAATCAATGGTCGGGTCCATTTCTACGGCAACTTGTAACATTCGATCGTGCTGGCTAGTACTTTGTAGAGCCTAATGCGTTACCCCCGAAAAGAGTGTTGTTAACCCCATTATTTGCCTTCGTCGTAAGCTTCCCTTTCTACACAGGTCCCACAATCCAGTTTTTACCATTACTAGCGGACATTCCATCCCACGTTAGCAAGCTTCCAGGCCATAACCCGGTATCCGTAAGCCGTTATCTACCCCAATAGACCATTGTCTTCACTGAATGAGGAGGACATTAGCACGCTAAACGACCGACCGACAGTGTTCTCCGTAACACGCCGCTTTACCTCAGCAATGTTCTCCAAGATTACTTTACTACTCCATGTTCTCCATGTTCTCCATGTTCTCTCCATGTTCCATGATGTTCTCCATCAATCGTCCGTTTCCTCATCTCACCTCCTGTCCATCGCTTTTATAACTCCCTTGGGATCAACAACGCTGTAGATGCCCGGGCAGTGAAGATAACCCACTACACTCATGAAACCTTCCGTCTACATAGAGGCAGAAGACTCTACATGCCCACGGCGGCTCATGGCAGCCCGTACCGGCGATTTCGGGAAACCGGGCGACTATTTTCCCAGGCTGAGCGATGTCGGCGCGTGTGCGGCGACGCGCCGGTTGTGGGTCACCTGGGACCGTACGGTGACGTAGAGTCGGGTGCCGTGCGTCATCGCTGGACGGGATGACGTCAGAAAGGAAGTGGTGCGATATTTTTACTACCAACGGTACCTTTTTCTATCGGTCTCGGCTTTGCGGTACAGAACTTAAATTGAGAACAAATAGTGGGCCTTGGTTGAAGGAAAAACTCGACATTGTAATGATCATGGGGTGGAATTGTTCTAGCCTAGCACTCTTATCTCGCCAGCTGCAACCACGTCTTTGATCACGTGTCCGCTGGCCGCGTCGTATTCGTGGCGTGCACGTGTCACCGGATGTCACGATAACTATACCTGTCACGAATTTTGCGTGCGCGCTCCGTTCGACCGCCCTTCCTCAGCATTGACCTAATTTCGGACAAGTGCAAATAGACATGTTCGATCATGCCGGCTAGTAAGCCTGTGGCAGCACATTTCCGTTTGAGATTGGACTTTGGAGTGAACTTCCGTTGGTTTATGTTTACGTTCGTTGTTTATAGAACGTTATCTTCAATGCCAAGCTTATTTCAACAGCACACACCTGTTCGGAATTAGCATACCTACTGCCTGCCACGAACAGGGGATTTCACCGTCCGTTTATCGGTAATGTAAGCTGCTTACGATCAGGTATTGTTAGGCATTTGCAGACTCCACTGCATGCAGGAACCGATGGGGTTTTTTGACTGCAGCCGACCGTCTGTCCCACGGTTCTTTAGGAGCTTGTAAAAAGGCGTCTCCAGCCGGGTTTTGTCACTTAGTGGCTAATCAGTGGTCGTGGAACCCATTTGGCCACTTAGGTGGGAATTTGTGCCAGACATGTGCATGGATCCAAGAGCTGGATCTATGATCTCAGTGGATCTCTCGACAAAATAGAGGGGTTGGATCTATGATCCGAGTGGATCTCTCGACAAAATTCAGGGGTTGGATCTATGATCCGAATGGATCTCTCCACAAAATTTAGGGGTCGGATCTATGATCTCTGTGGATCCAGCGGGCAAAAATTTGTGGAGGACCTATGATCTGTATGGATCTCACGACAACATGTAGCCAATGAAACCCTTATCCTACATAATTGTGCACCTTACAGTGCAATACAATTGAGAATTATCACTTGTGGACATGGTTATTGGTTAAGACCACTTGTAATCATTAGGTATCATCATTAAATTTGAATTTAAATAAACAACATTTGTACTACATTTAAAATAAACCAAGAACATGCATATTGCTACTTTTTGTGACCAATTGTAACTTTTCCATGACAGCACTGATGACAATCTTATCAACAAGCTACAGCCACTTTAATTCAATGAACAAACAGTACAGACAGATGCAGTGGCAGTAGGGCTCTGCAGATTTTCATTTTGGTCCCATTCTTTCCATGCAACGCCAGTACGGCTAATGTTAAAATGCCAAAATCTATGGGGGGCACTGTACCCTGGTGCCACCCCCCCCCCTGTTCTGCCGCCTATAGACAGATGTTAGGAAATCAAACCTGGGAGCCAAATAGGTCAGTTTTGTTAAAAATAATCCAGCAATCCACTTCTGCCAGGTATGAAATCCCAATCCAGAATGTTCGTATGAGCTATTAGTAAGTGCAACACAATTTCGATTTAGTAAGAAAAGCAACCAACCTCTAATACTTTCCTAATAAAATTACAAGTTCAAAAATGGCATCAACTTCTTCAGATTACCTACTTTTGGCACCGTGCCAAGGCCGTCGTGCCACGTGTGGTGCCATGCTGTGCTTTCGTTATGAGAGAGCCTCCCAAAAAAGACAAACGAAATTCATAGCTCACGTTTTGGTAATATGGTTTTATTACGTCATTATCGTTTGACCAATGAAAAAGCTTTATTTGACCAAAACCGCAATGATTTCAAAAGATTCCCCGTAATAGGCCCTTTAAACTAATGACGTCAGATATTGTTATTCTTTTGAAAAGTGAATAAAATAAAGATGCAAGGCGCACACCGCTCAGGGCCATGTTATACCGTTTCAGCTTACGTTTACGTCATTAAATTCAACGCTACAAAGATGATATTCACAAAAAATCGTATCGTAAAATTATGTGAGGCAAAAAAATGAACATTATTTAAAAAAATAACTCGAGACTTTTGAATTTCCGGTTTGATTTTATATTTATTTTCATTATACTCGAAGGTAGAACGCCTAGCTCATTTGTTATTTGAAATGACGTCACGAGTTCTATTTAGATACTGAATAATCATTTTACGGTAAATATCCAAGGCCATTAGGGTAGACCGGGGCAAGTCGCCCCGCCGAGGTAAAACGCCTCACCGATGTTTCTCGGAACTGGTAAGGTTCTGAGGAAACATCCTCTCTTCTATAAAACGTGCACTATATGATCATTATATGAGCAAACTGGAAAGAAATTGTATTAACTCTTGAGGGAGATATAGCCAAAAATTTGTTTTTGGAGTGATTTTTATGTTTTGTAGTCAGATTATGCATCATGGCGTTCTTTTATGGTCCACATCAGGTTAACGACTTTTATGTATTTTGAACAACTAGTGTCTAACGCTTATAATAATGGGTTGGTCCGTTTTAAATTATGTCTTGCTGGAGCGCAAGGCGTTGTTCTCTGACCGAACTACGTGATGGGGTAAAACGCCCCAGTAGGCCGCGGGGCAAAAAGCCCCATGGGGCGTTTTACCTCATGTGTTGTTCCGAATACCCACTTCCTAATGTTCGGTAACTGGGGAACAGTAAGTTTCTATGCAATTTTATGTGCTTTTCTCAGCAAAGTAATGGCAAAGGAAGTATTTTGTTAACATTTGCATTGCAATAATTTATTATTTGGCCTTATGAGGCATGTGAAAAACCTGTACATACAATAGTGTCACAGCTGAACACCTGACAGGATGGAAGGTGCTAACTTCAGTGCCGTGCCTCCCAAGGTCTAACGGGCCTCTCAAATAAGATTTAGTCAACTAGCATGTTTAGTCTTTAATCTAGAGTATGGGGCTTCTTGCCCCAGGCCGTGGGGCGTTTTGCCCTGGGGTTGGGGCAAAATGCCCCATTTGCAGTTGCTTCACAAATCACTTCCTAGCTGGGAGTTCGATCATAAGTGAATGAACTTGAGGGGTGGAATTTAAAATAAAATGTCCAAAGAACGCATTGAGCACAAATTTGGCCTTCCAGGTGATGTGGGACAAAAGTTATGTAGCAAAATAAATTATCTGGGGCGTCTTGCCCCAGGCTACCCTACAATTGATATTTCGCTTCCCATCGCTTCCGCAGGCTGTTGAATATTTTTATACTTTTGTTTATATCTCAGTTTATTTTATCAAATATTTCTTTCAATAGATTGAAATACCTTTACCTAACCAAGCCACATGTGTCAGTATCATCTTTTATTGTTTATCAATCAATTGTGTTAGCTGGAAACTGGAAAGCCTCATAGTTGTCTAATGCAAGATTGTCTTATCAATATCATTTTGTAGATTCTAACATGAATTGTGATGTGGTAGGTACCTAGTTATGTATTGTTCATTAGTCATTACTTTGACTTACCTCTATGTTAATTGTTAATGCAAACTTTTCTGTTGGTATGTGAACTGTGAACAATCTTCATGTCACTCAATTCTCTCAAGTTGTGACCATCATGAGCCTCCTTTATTTTGTATTCTGTATAATGTAACTGGATGCCTTTACTAATATGGCCTTTGTATAAGATTGTTTGTTTCTTACCATACTTTGGTATTCATAACTTCTTATGAAATAAAGTTGTTAACATTTTGAGCACCTATGAGCTATGATCCCAATGGATCTCACGACAAAATTGGGGAGCCAGATCTATGATCCGAGTGGATCTAGCGACAAAATTGAAGGGTCAGATCTATGATCCCAGTAGATCTCTCGACAAAATTGAGGGGTTGGATCTATGATCTGGATGGATCTCGGATCGGGATCCATGGGATCGGATCTCAGGTCCATTTTTCCGGATCCAAGCACATGTCTGATTTGTGCTAAAATGCGTCGTACACAGTCGCTAGTTCTCGGTCGAACAGTGCATGGAGCTCGCGAGGAGCGGGCCGGTACCGGCTCATACGCTGCTGCCACCTACCGCCAGCCGGCTGAACTATCGCAGAGGCCGGCAGGTGAACGGCATACTACTTCATCCATGACGGAACCGCCGCGTCGATGTGAGGGACGTTGTTGCCATGCGAGCTGAAGCTATTCCACTGGGTTATTTCTGATGTAGATCAAGATAAGATAGGCTGCTCTGCTGGCGCGTGAATTTCATAATGGTTTCGTAATACTGGACATTTGAAACATTTCGTCATGCCTTTCAGGAACAATTGGCTGAACTTTACGTAGGGCATGCGGCGATATTTCAGTTCACACCGACTTCGATCATGTTTGCTCGCACTGGGGTATGCGGTCGATAGGTAATTGGTGTGTTTATTTTGCCTTGACCGTTGGAACAGTGTTGGAATCTGCGGCCGTTTCTATCGTTAATCAATGCCCGCATTGCCCGTGGACGGTGGTCATCGAAAACAAATCAATGGAGAATATGGCCTCAGCGATAACTAAGCCCAAATTACTTCGGTTGACTGAGAGGTGCTAGTACGGTTGTAAAAAGCTAAAAGGAGTACTTATTTCGCTCCAAATGACATGGTTTGGGCTCAGACACAGACTGCAGGAATATTTCAACGCCTTGCGTACCATGGTAGATGACATTCTCACATCTCTCTAAATCAACTATCATCACCGCATATCAGCATATTTACCACGCCATCTCCCTATACCCACCATACATTGACGTTTAGTCAGCCTTTCTTCTCTCTCCAGATCCACTCATTCGCTCCGGCTCCTGACATAACCGCTTGGTGATAAGAGCACCCTCCCGAACCCCAATCTGCGGTGCTAAGTGAGGGCAGTCGGAGAGGTGGGTGGATGATGTACGGGGGCGTGTGCCATCCTTATCTCTAGCCCCGAGGGTGACGGACTGGGCGGCGGCTCCGCGGAGTGGGGAGGGACGGGGCTTGGGCGGGGCGGACGTTGTTGGTATGCGCCTCGTTCCAGCGCTGGTCGTGACCTGTCAGAGCACAGCTGGTGCCCCCAGTTCCTCCTCCAGTAGCACAGGAATCGAACAGCGAATCGATCCACAATCGAACTATGATGCTGTCCAGCTCACCGGCTGCTAGCGGACATGTAAATTGCTTGTCCGGTCTGGCTTGATGCACCTATTGATCGGGAGGATTATGTGGCTTTCGATAATGCAATATGTGTACACGAGGGCTTCTCTTGGTGTGGTATTGGTGATTATTCTGGGGACAGCTGGCGGTCAGTAAGGACGGTATGTAACTGGTCAACAGGGTTATGGGCTTATCAATACGATATCAATATATACGACAATATATCAATACGAGCCATTCGATTGACGAATGCTTATTACTTTTTATCTTATACTCGCAGGTAAAAGGGTATTTAATCGTTTGATTATCTTTTTTTTGCTGTCATGCTTGCATTTAGATGATGCTCTTTTCCCAACTTCAACAATTTCACAGTTGAAAGCGAATGGCCTTCCGGCTTCCATTGCTACACACCTTGCTACGTACGAATCTGGCGAGCTAGAAAGATGCTACACTACGGTTAAAAAAGATTCAGCTCTTGATAAAAGTGCTGCTGCTTATTTCACCATCAATTCTCTGGATATTTCCCGGAGGCCAAAACCCTACCTGTTGAATCGCTGCTGACGAATGTTTATCGCAGAGATCTCAGTTCGTTTGCTATGCTACTCAGCAGGGGTCAAGTGAGACCTTCAAGTTTATCCCCGTCTGTCACCAGGCGTTCCCAAGCTCAGACAACCTTCAGCTTTCAGCAGCGTGGTACGTGTCGACGCCTTTGTTTCAACTCTACGGGGTCTCGAACTATGAAGTCGTTTCAGAGACAAACGTAGAAACATTTTCCTGAAGAACGCCTCACTTTGAAACCCAACGTCGCCCGTCAGCCTCCAAGCTAGCCCAGTCACGTTCCTTACAGTCTGGTCCGTGAGTTACGGCGTGTTTCAGACTGGGGGTCGCCTCACCGTGACCAGGGTCGATGGGCCCGGGGCCGGCCGCCATCGATCGCTCGGCCCACGTCGTGGCCGACGCGCCGTCGTCGCCAGCGACGAGGCTCGTGCGCCCCTCGGACCGGCACCAAACGCTCGCGCGCGGCCGGCGGCGCCGGCGGCGGCGGTGGAGCGACGTTCGCTTTCCATTTCGGCGACGGGGTGATGGCGCACTTGCGGCGCAGCCGGCGCCGTGTGCGGAGGGAGGACTGGGGCGTGAGAGGGACGGAGTGAGACGCTGTGTTGTGCGCTGAGAAGAGCTCCTCTGCGGATGTGGAGAGATGGAACCTGGCCGTGGACGGGCCTGAGTTTGTTCCACGCAGTGTGTGTGATAGTTGACAATTTCTGGAAGGAAGTGACGCGAATTGTTTTGTGTTGATCACGTGTGTCAGGCGTGACACACTCGATCGCAGCTGTGGGGCTCATCATTTCGCCAGTTTGACTGTTCGTCCCGGCGCTTTGAGGCCCCCTATTGCGGCGCGGCGCGATATCGTGCAGTGCAGTGAGGGGGCGATTTTAACGACTTGCCCCGCCTCTTCCTAAACTCGCGGCCTCTTTGCCGCCTCGCGGTGAATTCATCAGTCGCGTTTCGGCACAGTGGAGCGCGCAGCGATATGGTGTAGCCGTCGGAGACCGGCCGAGTCGGGTTCAAACGCACCTGACAACGCGTGGCCGTCACCTGTGTGCTGTGTGTGTGCCACCGCTGGCACGTGGCGAGAACTTGACAGGTGTATAGAGGTCCCGCCTCCGCAGGACGTCCTATCTACGAGTGCTTGGGTCATCGGCTCGTGTCCTCGCTGGGTGGGTCTCTCCGTGCCACCAATTCGGCCCATTTTGCTGGGCCGTGACTTTTGCAGTACCGTGCAGAGGTTGGTAAGGTTTTATCACCCGTGAGTGGTTCATGGTCGCCCTGTAATGCAATGTGACTGCTTTGGTTGTCTGTGACACACTGTGACCGTTTATAAGTGAGTCTGTGGTTGTCTTCTGGCCCAAAAATTCTCAGTAGGTTTGTGGGTTTGTGATTGATTATGCGGCTGTGGGTATTCGATGTCGTAAAATATCTGTGCTGTTTTCTTTGGTCATATTGAACGATATTTGTACCATGCGACCTTTTAGATCTGGAATTTACATTACGACTCAGTGCTACAGGGCTAGAGCTCACCCCATCAATGTGTGTTTGCTTTGCTTCTAGGCGACCATCCGGGACTGGACATTGTGTCTTTTTGTCTTTTTTTTTTTACAGATTACCCCCTCGAAACGTCGCTTACCACCTGGACGTTTTTGTCTTCGACTCTGTCCTGTCGTCGTTGAGAATGTGTCGGTTGTGGGCAGTCCCCATTGCTGCTCTTGGGAAGCTCTGTGGAACATACCACCCTATGGGACAGAATCTCGCTTTGGGTTGACCCCGTGTCCCCGCTTTCTGTGGGCCGCCTGGGTCGCCCTCTGTGTCCGTCCGCCGCTCACGTGTGGGACCGCCGCTCCGTCAGGTCTGCGTCCAGCCGGCTCCGGCTCCCGCTCTGTGTCGCCAACCCTTAGCGAGGTCAGCACGGCTTCGTCAGCCGGCTCGGCCGGATCGCGGGGCTCCATGCACTCGCGCGACTCTGCCAAACTGGCCGCCAAGAGCCGCACCGGCTCCGTCCTCTCCCTCGGTGAGTAACATGAGCTGAGCTGATGACGGCTGGTGGCGGCTGATGACGGCTGATGACGCCTGATGACGGCAGACGGAGCTGCTGAGCTGATGACGTCTCTGCTGATCCCTTGACGGCTGACAAACCTGCTGAGCTGATGACGATTGACAGACAGACCTGACCACTGATTGCTGATGCGCTGACTGCCAACCATCCTGACCTGGTGACTCTTTGACGACTAATAGGTGGTTGTTTCGCCGTCTAGATGCATACTTATCTGACAAGTGACAATGATGGGTATTGAACATCTCATATCGCAGCAGAGCCAGAGTCATTACTAAGTATCCTTATCAAGTTTCCAGTTGCTCCGGCTCTTTTTATTCTTTCGACTTGTTTTATTGGGTGACCGCCCAAAGGATTTGGTGGAGCTTCTATCTAAATCTAATTAGAACTCCAAAAACTTTCAGAATTCCGCTGATCTCATCAGACTTACTTTCCTCATATAAATGTTCTCCGATTCCAACTTTTGGAACTTTTATGGGTTTCCTGGAAATGCATGTCGCTGAATTGTTCTTTAAAGTATTATCATACCAGAGCAATATTTCCAACTCCGCCCTTAGAGCTCCACAGAGAGTTCAGACTAGAATGGGTATGAATGAGATCATAGTGAGTGAGAGTGAGAGTGAGTGAGCGAACGAGCACGCGACCTCCCACTGAGAATCCTGACCACGCTGGCAGTAAACAGATGGGCCGGCCCGTGTTGTGGTTCCAACCCTCGTCCAATTCAGCGCGCCCGGTCGAGCAGGGTATTCGTCACACGGTGTATAGGGGCGCAGCTCTCCGGGTCGATGTTACTAACACGCTCCAGGTGGGAGCCTATTCATAGCACCCCCGGCCCGCCCCCTACCCTCCGCTCGCCGCCCTTGACTCTGTTCCCCTGGCCCAGCAGCTGTATGTTGTGTGTGCAGTGATGAGTGAATGCTGCTTCTACCCTGTCTCCTCTGGGGAGCGCTAGTTGTACGAGATCCACGGCCTTGGCTGCATTCCAAGGGGCGTGACCGACAATGGGACCCACTTGATTCAATTGGTGGGGGACATCTCTCGCGACAAACATGACTAAGTGTCGACACGGGGTGACAAACATCGCGACAAACATGACAAAGTCCACTAGCGTGACAAACATTACGAGAAACATGACACCTTGGGACGCAGAAATGGGTGTGGTTGGGCTTGGGCATAGGGGTTGGGTTTAGGCACAGGAGAGCGAAACAAAGGTCGATGTTATGAGACAGAAAGGTTAGGTCTGTTGCCTGACTGTGGATAATTTAGACTTTGCGTGGCTCATAGATATGCTTTGATGACGCTTACGCAAACGCTCGCAGTGTTCACTGCTTTCACAATCACCGTCGTGCTTATCTTGTCCTCACGAGCACCAACTCCGCTAACCCACCCGTGTGCGTTTCACGCCAAATTAGCCGCTTTTGCCCAATCACCGCCCCCGTTGCACACGACGTTCCTGTTTGACCGACCCGCGCGCTGTGACCCGGCCGATATCCGCCCCGTTCAGCACCTCTCCCACGCCCATAGTGTACCACACGTGGCCGGCCATGCGTGCCGCGGCGGCGGCACCGCCCGACCTTGCCCCGGTGTAGATTACCCTCACTTTCGCCGCCCGTATACCATTGATCACCACCACGGTGCTCTCGGCGTGACGCCGGGAGCTGCTGTTTTCGAAAGCCGACTAATTGAAATGGTCTCACCCCTCGGCGCGGCCGCAGGACCAGAGAAGGCCGGTAAGTCGCGCTGAAAAGCTCCAGACTGGTCGCCAAAGGTCGGCCAGGATTTATGCGGGCTGGGTTTAAATGACATCGTCTCCCGCTTGGAGCATGCGGTGATGTAGATTTAACCGCTAATTAGAGAAAGTCCGAGAGGCTGGACTTGATGATGATGAGGGTTAATTAATCCAATTTCATTCTCTTTACGGTCGTTATGGATTGAGCTAGATTACGGAGCTTTTGTCATGTGCATGCATCGTAGATCAGTATAATAGCTTCTCTTCCATCTCAATGGCATGATAGTCTTTGGCTGTTTGCACTAAGCGGCTAAACGTCATCCTACGACCTGAGATGAACGGATGATATTGACTCAATTACTTCCAAATGCCCCTGATTTCATCAACAAGCATGAAATTAAACATAATACTCGTACCTACCATGGATTGCCAACTAACTAGGGACTACTTCATCCATGATAATACCTACCTTTCTCACATGACGTACCTACCCTGCTGACATGTTTGGGGTCGATCACTGTCCCAACATTGGCATTGCAACACCTCATCTTCGCTTCATTTTTGTCTTATATCATTGTCTTCGTATTATGCTTTCAGTTTCCCATATTTTATGTTTGCTGACTTGTCACTGCTACTGCTCACTATGTAAATATCATAATGCATTCACAGCTGCCTGCTGACTTGTGTATATGCCCGCCTGCCTGCCTGTCTGTGTTTGTATGTCTGTCTGCCGGCGGCTGATGGCGGCCTCTTCACGCTGCTTTCAGTGTCTGAACGTGCTGCAGTCTCCATCCGGCGGAAGATACCCACAGGTACAGTGATGCGTGCCGTCTGGTGGACAGAAAGTCAGCCTGCTGGGAGGGAGAGGTGGTTTTGTGATCACAATTTGGTGGTGGAGGAGGGAGGGAAGGAGGTTGTTTTGTGATCACAATTTGGTGATGGGTGACATTTGTGGTTGATGGGACCACCAAAACTGCAGTGATTTAAGCCGGTACGCAGTGAAGCTGCTCGAACAGAGACATTCCACTATGGCGCTCGCATCCCTTTCCTCCCACACACACAGTGATTTGAGCATGATTCGCTGGAAACATCTGATTGCGCCGAAACTCTCGGATGACATTTTTGCATGAACTCAGCGCTCTTCGTGGGCGATGTACGCAGTGTGCACGCAATGTGCACGCCATCGTGCACGTCAGTGCACAGTGCATGCGTTTAATGGTTATTGCGCGAGGATGACTGCGCATCTCTCATGGGGGATACGTCCATGACAGGGCGTTGTCACCGTGTTCATATTTAGGTCGCCCCGGACTATTCGCTGTGCTGGTTCGCTGTGGATGGCCGTTTCGATCTCCACCGGATTCGTGTCGGATGATGACCCTATGTCGGTGGACGGGATTAGAATAGTTGCGTGCCACTGACATGACGGTCATGGCCACAAGCCGCTTACGATGGTTCATGGAAGTAATTACTGGTAATCGATAGGATGGGAAGATTTGCGGTTTAATTCGGGATGAAAGCCTGTCGGAAGATAAGCCCTATTAGGTGGGCTTTTCGTGTGGTATGACAGCATTCTGGTGAACAAAAAACGCATGCCCCACATCTATCTTCATTCTTCCCCTTCCCATGTCACAAAGTCTGGACGACACTGTCACAATTTACACTCGTACTTTGGTTTCCCACCATGGACGTAGATCTTGTCGTGGACCGCTGTCGCCGGTGTCACTGCCCTGAGTGCCCGCGCATGGGTGTCCGGATCGCGTGGGAGCGGGCTGGGGCTGCCGCACTGGGTCGTGACAGTGCAATGGACAGAACTGTCGGGCCAGGTAGCGGCCCACGGCACCGAACGGAAACGGAACTGTATTGGCTGTCTGTGCTGTCTGAAACTGACTACCATGTGTGCTGTCTGAACTGACTACCGTCTGTGCTGTCTGTGTTATGTGGACTGACTACTGTTTTCGCTGTCTGAACTAACAATGCTGTATGAACTGACTGCTGTCTGTGTACTTTCTGCATTAGCTCCTGTAACAACCACTGTCTCAATTGACCGTGCTGAACAGTTACCTACTGCCCGAAATGACCATTCATTCTAACATTCTCGTACATCCATGAATTAAATTTTCCTGTTCATCTACATTTAAACCGGCTGTGATTTCCTCATCTCCCGATGTCTAATCTCCGTCGTCGCCGTGATCTCACCATACGCGTCCTCCCGGCTCAGAACACCGGACGTTCCTGTACAGGTCGCGTTCGGAGCGGAATCCGTGTGGAAACGCTCGATCACTTCAGTGACTAACGCAGACCGTTTGTGGTCGGATCCGCATTCCTTAGTGCGTGACAGTGTGGGGAGAATTTCGGGATGTAACGGCCACGGGTGCGTCATCATAATGACTGTCTGGAGTGAGGCGATGTTTTGTTTATTGCTCGATGTTTAGTGGTTTTGAGGTTTATGTGCATATTGTTTATACTTTGTGTATTGGTCGTATCAGTTGAATTCAGCTTACCTACCTATTCGATTGGGCTACGACGTTTTGCCTCTTCAAAACGTTCACACAATGTCCAATATGCTCTCTTACGGTTCGCAGAGTCTTTTCCAAGCATAACTTTCGTGCATTTCTTTTTTCAAGCATAACTTCGTCATTTTTGCCGGCAGGCTCCGCCCCCACTACATCTCGTAGCGGCAGCAAGCAGCCGTCCGCTGCTTCGAGGGCAGTTTCGACGACGGCCACCAGGGCGGCGCTGGAGGCGCCATCGCGTCGCGCCGCCCCACTCTCCAACAAAACCAACATCGCGAATAACCAAGGCACGGGTACGAATATATCGACTGCGTGGAGAATATATCGAACGTGGAGGGGCGTGCTACCGACCACGGCCAGTGGTTGATTGCCTGTCTCACCGCGTTCGATCACCTCACGGCTTTCCTGACATGTCACAAATGTGACGTCAAATTGTTAGGATGAGTAGATGGATTCCTGATTTACTTTTGCCCTCCGCTCCGTCGTTTCCATCCTCAGGATACTGAAATCCTTCTCCTCCACGCCGCAACCCCCACTCCGGGCTGGACAGGCACCTTTATCTCATGCGGGCTGCTCCCTTGGAGCGGCACCGCTGCTCCCGAGGGAGCGCACCCCGTAGCCGGGTGCAGAGAGTGCTTGGGGGGTTGGTCGGCCTGTCCATTCGGACGGGCTCAGCCCCGGCGACTCTCTAGGGTGTCTGCCCAGACCAATGTCTCCCCCTAAATCCTATCATCCTTCCTGCTGTGAAATGGTCTAACTCTAATTGGACCGAAAGGGCCTAACCCAACAACAACAAAAAATTAATATTTGATCTGTCCCGACCACCGTTTCTGACCGTGGCTCTAAGTGTTTCATCACTGGTAAAATCCTGTCACAATGGTCACTGGGCCACTACTCAACGCTCATGGCAGTCTGAGAAGAGCTTTGAAAAAGGTGGATCCACCGTTGTGAGAGACGTAATTTTGGTAGGCGAATACTCACCGTTACTCTTTTTCCACCAGGGACGAAAACGACGAAACCTTCGACGAGACCACCCATCGGTGGAAGATCTCAGAATAAAGTACAAAGCAAGGCATCTACCAAAGGTCAGTCCCAGCTACCTTACCTAGAGCTGAGTGTGTGGGCAGATGGATGGTGTCCCAAGGCTGGCCTGCAGCGCCGGTGGAGATAACTCGTGGTCGACCTGCGCGCCACCTGCCTGCGGTACTCGTGCTACACTGGTTGCGGGTATATCCGCCAGGTGGCACTAGCGGGCGCTTCATTTCTCTGGTGAACTGAGCAAGTCTTGAGGTTGAACGGCGATTGATTGTCTTCCAAAAAGCAAACCTGACATTTTATACGCAATACATGGATGTAACCATACCATGGATTGGCAAGGTGCATGGGATGCGGTATTACTTTGCTGGACCCTGGCCCTAAAAAACTGGTTTGCGACGAATTCAGCAGTAGTGTACAGTTAGCCAGATTGATAACCTCATATCAAAGACACACCACTAAATCAGGTTCAGGGAAAGGTCCTGTGCTATAAAGACAATACCCCAGTATTTGTTGTCCTTTTACAAAGTGTTGCCACCCGGGCTTGGCGTAGCCCGTGGCTCCTCTCCAATAACATTTGCCCTGATGGCGAAGGAAATTTGTCCGCGCCCACGCGTGTTGCACTTGGCCCTGGGCGTATTTGCACGGCACTCACCATCACCGGCAGACGGGATGATTGGACGTTACCTCAGGCTTAACACGGGATTATTTTAGGATGTTCTCGAGGTCTCAGACGGTCCTTGATGTTTCGTTGACTTTCCGGAGCTTTGGCGGCCTTCCGCTGAATTACTTTCATGATTAACATCGCTTGATTTATACGTTTCGTAACTTGGCACGCTGGTGTGGCATCATCAGCTTTGGAATCCTTCGCATTAGCTCAGCGGCGATATTTTTCATCGGTATTATTTATAGCAGACCAGTTATCTTTCAAATATCCTAACAAAGATATAAAACTCGCAAGTCTCCACTGCCGTATGTCACATAGGTATCATCTGCATTGAACTCTTTTGAAATATTGGCGCCTATAATAATTATGCGCTGTCATTTTGCCATGATCAAATTTATCGTATGTCGATGGCCATCCATCATCTTCCCTGTCTTGCGAAACTCGGCTGTGGCATGGGAAATCGATCCGAGCGATATCACTTCAGATAAAATCCAACCGCATAATTTTAGTTTTTTTTTCGAAACGATGTAAATCGAGTGCAGCTCGGAGTTCCGACGATCTAGTTAACTACACTCGTTAAATATCTCCAAATTAATGACTTGGATAAGAATAAACACTTGAGTGGTCTAAGGCATCTTTCTTGCAGTGATACAAATTCGGTGAATCTGTATGATGAATTTTGACTGAAAACACTATCTAATCTCACGCAATTAATCAAAAGTACCTACAACGGTTAAAATTACTTGCAACTAGCTTTTTATGCTTTGACCTTGACGTCAGTAGGTCATTCGTCAGTCTCAGTCAACAGTTCCTACTCCGTCACCTATGAGTTGATCTGCCTGTCAGTCATCGTGTCATCCTTCTGACATTCCGACCTTGCAGTACAACTCCCTTTGATCTCCTGTTTTCCTGCCCAGTATCTTTGCCGTGGAGGATACAGATCATATCTGCCTCAGTAACCGTCCTTGTGATCGGTCAGTTATCACATTAAATACCATAATAACCAACGGATGAAATGTTAATGAGAACACGCTATTTCCACGAGCCAATAAGACCGCCCGAGTGTCTGGGCGGGCGCGGCGCTGACCGTTTAAGCCCACGCTGTGCGCTGTGGGGGGTCGCTTCGTACCCGACCGACGCCGGGCTGTCACTTTCTAACCGACCGGTGTGTTTCTCGCCTGAACCTGAACCACTCTCACTATCTTTAGAGATGGATTCCGGTTCTGGTTAGGTCATGGCGTAGCCTCGTTTGTTTCCATGGACGGCGTGAGGTGTGTAGGGCTTCTCATGAGAAAATATCGGTGGCTTGCGCCGACAGGGATCACCCGGGGTGACTTGGATGACCCGAACGACCCGTGCTGACCCCTGCTGGTGGTAATTTGTTTACGGTGATGTAGTTGGTATTGTATGGGCTCGCGACGAGTCTGATTAGGTGCGGTGTAATCTGACCTGACCCCAGCTGTTTCTTCTTGTTGACTGTGGTGGCTGGCCTGACCTTACTTGACCTCTGTTATGTTGATCATTGGCTGGACGAAGTTATTCCTTTCTCTTTCTCCCTTTCATTCCACTCGACGCCAGGTTATTATATCCAATGAACTCACGCCGTGAATTTGATTCTGCTACAGTTGTTTAAAAACTTCCTTTAGTTAGTCCCAAGAAACGACCACACAGCTGCCTCACTGTTGATAAGCGGCGTTGGAGATTCTTTTCTGGTGACTTGTCCACACTCCTTCCAACGTCAACTCAGCCGACTGACTCATCTTTCCGGGCCTCTCTTCATCATCTGGGTGGTGATAAGTGTTCACGTCCTCGAGTCTATGTGAGATTAACCGTGAGCTCATCTCACCATGTTTACGTCGCGCCTTATTGCTCTCTGCTAGACAGGTCCGTCGGGCGCTCTCCGCAGAGACCCGCGGGCGATGAGGTCATTCTGACATGGCAATGTTAGTGATTCGTCTTGTCAAAGTGTGTCTCGTGTCACGCGCACGCCCCAACGGCGCCAAATGACGGATGAACGCACTCAACGCAATTGATTTCGTCCGTTTTTGTCAATGCGTTGAAGTCGCTAAAAAGACGCTCTAGTAACTAACGCGTTTTTATTTGGGACCCTGGTCGCAAAAACTACCTTCATCTTCGCTCGCGGTCCCAGGATGGGTCGTCGGCGGCATTAATTCATCGAGTTGATGTTTGCCGACTGGATGACTCTGAGCTGGTCGGACTGTGTGGGAGATGTAAGGCCTCATTAGATCCAATTCCGTCGCGTTGTCGTCATGGCTCGATTGACGCTGTTTGGGCTACTCCCAGCGCTAACCATGACAAATGGTGTGCGTGGTGAGACGCGGTGTTCTGCGGCAGGCAGCGACATCCGCGGCGCGGCGATGACACTCGCGGCGCGTCTCTGACACCAGACCACGACAGATGACACAGTGTCAGATGACACGGTGTCATGCTGAGACGCGGCACGAGACACGGTTCCGACCTTGACCGCCCCTCCGCTCCACCTGCCCTGTCGCCAGGAGCGGAACTAATCAGCGTTCATACGCGGAAACATGACTCTGATCATCACCACGCGTGGGCGCCGCCTAGACAGGCAGGACACTCCCAGCTTCGAGAGAATCTCGTGTTGGGCGTCGCCGTCCCGTCACGGCTACGGCTGTGACCACGGCGGAGGTCCTCTGACAACCTCTGGAGTGTTGTCGGAGGGGGCGTGCGGGTCGGTGGGCGCCCGGTGGACGCCCCGGGCGCCGGCACGTAACCGGGTCAGGGCGCCCGGCCGAGCTGCGCCCGCAATGGCTGGGTGGAGTTGGGAATGGAAGTGCGCCGTTCCCAGGGTCTGTTTGACTTACAGACGCAGAGAGAATTGTGAATGATATTTTGATCGGGGTCATTCACAGGCCCGAATCCTTCAGAGTCGTCGGGTCTCTTGTCCTTCGCAAGATCTGATTGCAGTTGACTTATGATTATTAATCGTCTGTTCACTGGTAATCGATACATATGCTAATTACAGACACACTACCGGAACGCCCGTCTGGACCGAGCTTCTGTGGGTGGAGCTGAACTTCGAACTCAGTTCGAGAACCTTTGCCGATGGGTGCTTCGGCGTTCAGCTTCAGACTTCAGCGGCGCGAATCGTGCTCACAATTCACACTCAGCGGTCTCATTAGCTGCCCGATTCAGCCGTTCGACAGAGCTCGAACAGCTGCCAAGGTGGGATTTTCGAGCCATAAGACCGCCGGTCATGGGGCCATATAGCTTCAGACGACCGCCGCCGCCGCTTCCAACCCGGTCTGGAGTTTGTGACACTCCCGTCCAACTCGGTCGGGAGAGAGACGGGAACGGCTTTCCACCGCCTCGCACGACGCGTCTGGCGCGTGCCTAGCGTGGGAACACCGCTCAAGGGTCTATTGGAATTGTGTGATGTCGATCAGCGGTGCGGTAAAACGGGGTGTGACAAAACAGCCGAACCGAGACGGAAAATGAGAGAGAGGAAAAACAGAACACATACGCACATTCATCCCGCAATGATGTGGCTAAGCCAATCTCATTGTTAAGAACGCTTAATTTGTATAAATGATAAATGAACAGGAGTGCATTTTTCTCGTTTCACCAGTAGCAATACAGCTTGCTCAAAAGCGAGAGCGTGATGATCAGAGCGGGCCTCAACTTTTGCCCGCGGCTTGTAGTTGAGCCTGAACGCGGATAAAATCTATGAATAGTCGCTCTGGCTGTGCCCGTGCCTCTGGCCGTTGGAGTTTTGCCTCTGGTCCCATTGCAGTGCGTTTCGCGCAGGTATAAGGTACCCTCATCACGGCCTAAGGCGTGCCAACCCTCAGGAGTGCCTTCACGACCCTGTGGAGTACCAAGCACGCCTGCTAACTAACCCGGTGCTGTGAGACGCGCTCCGAGCCACCCCTGCGGTTTGCCCTACGGTGGCACGGATGCTGCACGTCCCCCCGTCATGTTTCACACCACCACGCGGTGGCATGGGAGTCACTGAGGTTTTTATGGCCCGCAGCGGTGGGAGGTGTTTTGAGGATGACACTTTGGCGGTTTTTGGGTTCAGTCGCATGAGGCTGACGTCGTAAAAAGATCATTTCGGCTCTGGCTCCGCCCGAATGGGATGAATCCGCATGGGAGTTCTCAGAACGAGATGCCGTTTACCCTTTGCATTGTGCAATGTGCAGGCTGAATGGACTGTTGCACGTATCACTGACCGCTGAAGTCCAGAGCAAACGATCAGATGCTCCCCGATATGGTCCATCGGCTTGGTAAGTGTTTCGAGGAATTGGTGCTGTTGTGTGGATGACGCGATGGGTCTCTCGCTGTTGTGAGGTGGACCGTTGAATGTCTGAAGAGGTGGCAGACAGATGACGCCGTCTGAAG